TTAAATGTTGTTCCTTCCAGAAAAGGGCACATGGTGTAGAGAAGACAAATTTGAACAGTTTAATTAAGCTGTAAATATCAAAGTGTTTTTCGGTTGATATAATTTGCCTGTCTCTGTTCTGGAATATATTTGCAATATATGTGCATGATATATAAGCATAAGTATGGCATGGTTGGGCTCAGTTTCATGCCCAAAGCAGATGTCTTTCTTGAGTAGTTCAAGAAAATTAGATTTATTTACAGGGTGTAAGTGCTTAAAGTTCAATGGAAAAGCTGAAGCAATGGAGCTCCTGGAGGATTACTACAAAGCTCTGGATTTGAATTCACACCTGTGCAGTTGTGTTTTAGAGGCCAATGACCTTATATATTGTGATTGTATTTATTGCTGTTGCCCTGAAGGCCTCTCATCCTCTAAATGTCACCTACAAAGTGGAAGGGCGATCTAGGTCCTAACTGCTACAGTGCCCTCTCTGGGAGCTAGCTTAGTACTTGTCACTGGAGCAGGAAAGTAACCTCTATTGTCTTTGGTCTTTCAAACTTACTCAGGTACATCCCATTGGAAGAAATCATTCATAATTTCACTATGAGGTCCACATGTGCATTTCTATGCCCTAGGGTAGAGTGTGATCCTTGTAGAGTGCTTAGAATTATCAGTGGCTGCACTCATAGGGCTCACAGTTCATTATCAGAGATAAGCAACAGAAAGATTATCAGGATCTGGGCAGACTGCTGTCAGTGAAGGGCTTGTTACATGATTATAAGGACCTGAGTTTCAGACTCACTGTCCATGTAAAAAGTTGGATATAATGGCACACATTTATATTCTCAGTTCTGGAGAGACAGAGACAGAATCCCTGGGACTTACTAATACAACTGGACTAATGGCAAGACCTGGGTCCTAGTGAGAGATTGCAAAAGACTAAGTATCAAAATGTACAGAAGAAGAACATCCAAGGTTGATTAGGGCACCCAGGTATAGACATATACATATCCATGAACAGTTACACACATTGTAAAAAAATCATGAACATGTTCACATATAAGGATAGGTAAAGTGTATGAAACAAATGCAGTGACGGATCTTGGTGCTGCGGGTAGCAGAGAGGATTTGATCGATCACTCTGATGAGAAATGGGAGAAGGAACTAAAATGAACATTGTGGAAATGATGTTGCCTGAGTTAAGACCTAAGGCCTTAGTAATCATAGAAGATATATAAGGGGGTTATGGAGATTGTGCCAGACATGTAGGAGACAATCGTTCACAACTACAACACAGGTAGTGACCATAGGCAGAAGACATGAAGGAAAGCAACATACTGAGTTTGGGGTTAGGAGACATCAGTTTAGCCTAATATTGCATGGGCACATAAAGGCCAAAAATATTAATACTACAGGACTTGAAGGATGCTTAGAGGAAGATCAGAGTGAGGGAGAAGAAGGAACCTGTAATGAGCATTCTTCTCGCCAGCCTGGTTCTAGAGCCGCGTCAGTCCCAAATGAACACGCAGGACGCTATATTAATTATGAAGCTGTTGGCCATTTGATATGGTTTCTTATTGGCTAGTTCTGGCTTAATTATTAACCCATAACTGCTAATCTAAGTATTTCCACATGGTCTTCTCTTATCGAGAAAGGGTCCAGACCTCTTACTCCTCTTGCATCTTACATAGTGACTAACTGTGTCTCCATTTCCCAGAATTCTCCACCTCTCCTATTCCCACCTATCTTGCTTCCCTATTTGTCACCAGTGCTTTATTCACCAACCAATAAGACAAACATATACAGAAGGACTTACCCCATCAGGGATCTGTGACTAAGCCTTGGTGTTCTTTACCTGGCTTAAATCAGAATTCTGAGCTGGCTAACTTAATTGAAAAGTGAAGTCTCTTCCTGTTCTTTGTCTTTGGATTAACTGTAAGTTGATATAATCCAGTTGTATATTTAAAAGATCTGTCTATGAAAGCCTTGGGATCATGTGCAAGTTGCATATTTTTTAGGAGAGAAGTTAATTGTCAAAATTTAAGAATCCTGATTTGAGATTTGTGGTATAATATCCTTTTGACTAATGTTCATTAAATTTTGTTATAGATGTCAGCTGCTTATTCAGGAGTATATTTCAAACACACAGTGAGTAGTTCTATTTAAGACAGTGCAGTCTCTTTCTGGTCTCTAAAGCATTTTTCTGTCACAAAGGAGAAGGGTGTTGAATTTATTACAACATAAATAATTCTGGATGCATTGTTGAGCTCCTGGGAACAGAAGACAAACACATACAAAACTATACAGTGAACACCATGAGAGTAGCAATTCTGGAGTAAATGCCAAAGCAAGAAACCAGAGTTGTAGAGGATCATGGGTACTCAGGTATGGGTGTGCTTGCACATGCTGAAGACAAGTGGGTGACTGGATGTAGAACCAGGTACTCTTCTGAATTCTGTGCGCTGAAATACTGCTTCAACTGGCCAGGAAATACTCAAGGAAATTGCTGTGCCATCCTTCTATCTTGTTGGAAAGTAACCAAACATGCCAATGGTAGGAATGATGATGTTAGTAGCCTTCTCAGTTGCCCAGGGCCACAATTATTTCAAGAGTGTCTGAAATTTGAATATATGTTGGCGTCAGAGAAACCTCAGCATGGGAAATTAACTTGAAGGCATATGAGGTGGCTAGCTTATCAAACCAGGTAAAAACTAAAGCAGAATTTGTCCAGAGAAAGGCATATCCAAACCAGCTTCTTCTAGATGCTTGAAAATTGTTAACCACACATTAGTTCACCATAAACAGGATACCATAGAAAACTCAGTAGAGAGAGTAAATTATTCACACTCTCAAGAACTCAAAAATATAATGTTGTGCTCACAGATTTTATCAATAATGATGAAAAAGCCAGTATATGCAAAGACTAAGAATCTAGCAAGTAAAGTTTGTGTTAGAATCCATTTTGTTTCTACTAGATTCATAAAATCAGAAGGTGGTAATATACCAGCTTTGCAAAATTACTGTAATTGGCATGCAATGCTGAGGGAAGGGGGAGTGTAAATTGATTCAGTCACTTGCTGGTTTTGTAAACTTGAGGAGCATTTGCTCTGGTAAGCAGCATCCATGCTGAAAAAAAATGTGTTACTATACCCTTAAATGTGCTTGTGAAGGAAGTCTTGAGGGCTGAAATGTAAGCCATGACAAACATACAAAGGTCCTGAAAAACAACATTCATGAATGAGAGAAGATAAGTCAATTACAATATACCATAACATAGTCATAGTATTAATTGGTGACACTGGACTACAGTAACACTAAACATGTGTAGCCACCCTCAAAGAAGTGAACCTCAGGGATGATGCTATGTGACATATATTTGTGTGTGTGTGTGTGTGTGTGTACATGAGTTGACATACTTAAGAAGTGTTCCCAATTAAAATAAGCTTATTTTTTAATACTGGCACATGTTTTGGATCAGAAAGTCTTATTGAAGAGAATATTTAAATAAAAAAATTAGCTTTTACTTTCACCATGACTCTTACCTTTTATTTTTTCCCTATTCATGCTCTGCAGAACACAAGGAAATGCCAATTATTTAGGGTGCTACTTGAAAGACAAAATTAGTTAGAGTTTGTTTGGTTGTTTATGGGAGCCCTTGGAGCTTATACTTGTGGAAGTTTGACATAGCAGAAGAGAGTAATCGGACCCTTTGGAGGACAGTCCTCAGCATATTCAGCCAAGTGGAAAGGTTGTGAGTCATCTGGCTTAGGTATTGCTTTATGTTACTAACTGGGCCATTGTTGCACCTTTTAGTCACAGGTAGGCAGAGTAGACTCTCTCCATCACTCTGGTCTCAAACTTACCCAGGTGAGTTTTGGTAAAGAGGAAGTAGGCTTTAACCAAGTCCCACCTTGCCCCACTGGAGTGAACTCAGAGCATTTTGATGTCCATTTAACATACTGATTGTATCGTGAATTTTCCTGGGCCACATTTCTGTTTTGATGAAGTGTGATTACCTTTTAATAGTTGAAATAAGGAAAGATGGGTGTTTATAATAAAGCCTAGAAATGATGGGAAGAGAATAAGGTATGTCTTAATGTACCTTAGTTTACATATTAACTTAATTTTTAAAGTTTGGCATGAAGAAGAACACAAGCTATGCGTGGAGGGAAGAGAACACATTATAGGAATTGTTTCTTTCTTTCTATGATGTGAATTCCCAGGCTTGAACTCAGGCTATCCAGTGCCCTTACCCACACTCACTGAGTCATCTTTTTGACTTATTTAATTATTGTGTGGTTGGGGTAAGGTGGGCTCATCAGAATGTACATTTGGAGGTCAAAGGACAACTTTCAGGTTTTCTCCTTCTACCATATGGGTCCCAGAGATTGAACTCAGATCTTGAGGCTTGGCAGCAAGCATTGTTACTTGCAAAGGCATCACACTGGCCACAAAACGTTTTTTTTTTTTTTTTTTTTTTTTTTTGGTTTTTCGAGACAGGGTTTCTCTGTGGCTTTGGAGGCTGTCCTGGAACTAGCTCTTGTAGACCAGGCTGGCCTTGAACTCACAGAGATCTACCTGCCTCTGCCTCCCAAGTGCTGGGATTAAAGGTTTGGGCCACCAACACCCGGCCCAAAATGTGTTTTCATATAAGGTATTATTCCCATTATTAGTAATTTATAAGTAAATTAGATAAACCAATTATTCTACTGGAATCTAGCATTTGACACTTCATTTTTAGTCTGCCTGTTCATTGTGTTTCTGTCATGGTGATAACTGTTAGAAGTCAGCAGGCTTAAAAGACACAGTCTGAAAGAGGCTGGGCTTCCTTTCAGCATCCTGTTCTTGGGAAGGGTTCACTTCACTACATATTGTTTTAGTTATTCAGAGATCATCACTGTGGCAAGGCTTCCTCTTTTCTCTTTAGTATATGGATTAACACAAATAACATGCAATATTTTCTAACCCATTCTTGTGTAGAAAAGCTTTCTCTGACTTCTCTACCTCTCTTGTTGCTTCAGGACAGCTTCCCTGCAAGATTTGGAGGAATTCATTTTGTCAATCAACCTTGGTATATCCATGCCTTGTACACTGTGATCCGGCCTTTCCTGAAGGAGAAGACTCGGAAAAGGGTACTTCTGCTTTTTGTTTTAAAACCTGATGTCTCTCCCTATCCATATTCAACAAGTTATGCTTCACATTTTGATTGTTTATTGTCAGCCATAATAGAATTTCTTTAATCTTGTCATGTTAATATTCTGCATAGAAGACATTTACAGATTTTTAGAGAGCTCATAATCTCTCTAAATTCTCAACAACATTTTATGAACAGGACATTTGAAAGCAAGCTTTCTTACTGTTTCACCAAATAATGAAACATGCTAGTGTCTTCACTCATATTACAGTCTCACTGTAAACATCAGAAAACCCTGCTGTGTTATTTCATTATTGTTGGCACTCTTAATTTCAAGTAAGATCTAGACATAAGTTATTATTTTATTTATTGACAAATGAATGCTTGCTATTTCACAATATTTACTGACATAAGTACATTTTTCAGAATTTGATATATTTGTGTAGTGACAGTCATGATCCATCAGATATTTTGATAATAATGATGGTGTGTTCAAGTTTTAATATTTCTCTAAATAACATGTTTTATGAATTTACTCAGATTGAGTTTCATCATACAAGGGTGGTAATAAATGTACATGAAAGAAAATTCTTACTGGCCTTACAAGTGATACCCTATTATGACTTTTATGAAAATGTAATAATTACTTAAAACAGTTAACCCTAGCACCATAGTACATGTTAAATTTAATAGGCATGCTTATTGAACATAGAACTTTAAAATACATTTAGTTGTACATTTTTTCATTTAACATCTTTGGAAAGTATATTTAAATATTGCTCACCTATTTATTATTTAAATATATATACATTATTAACAGTTAAAATAAGGGTAAACATATTCATCTCCTTTAAAAATTAATGTTTCTTTGTTGTGAAGACATTCTAAATCTTTTCTGTTGCTTTAAAAAAATCAGTGACTACCATTATCTAGAGTGATTATACCTATTTTTCTTATCCAACTGTAACTTGGATAACTTGTACCCACAGACCAACCTATTCCTAGTTCTTTTTTGCAAGCCTCTGATTACTGATTTTATGCTGAACTCTGAAAAGTAAATTTAGTAAACATGGTCTCCAATTTCCAAGCTGAGGAAGGAAGTCTGTGGATGGATAAGCAACTTGCTTCCTCACACACAGATGCAGCTGGGAAGTGACAGAACAAGTATATGCCCTCAAAGCACCCAGTTCTATTTACCTCTGTGTGCTAACCACCACCAAATGATTAGTGACACTGTAAAATATACTTACGTCTAAACCTATGTGGATGACAATAGTGTTGTGAAACTCAGTGATTAAGCACTTCGTGTCTTCTAGTGTTGCAAAGTCCTCATTCTGAGCATGAAAACACAGTAATTACATGTTCGCATCAAGCATTAGTGAGCAGAGGGTTGACTGTGTATGAATTTGTTAAAAATATTCTAGTCATTCAGGAGGAAGAACTCTACAAACAACTGTAATTTATACTAAGAGTTGTTTCTGCCACTAAGCATGAAATTATGCATATTTTAGAGTTCAAAAATATAACGAAGTGCTTCACAAATGCACCTTCAATCTTTGTTCCATGAAATAGTAATCAGGTTATTCAAAACATCTGCTGGGGATTTTAGCACAAATTGCACTTATGTGTGCTCTCTCTTGCTTCATGCTGTTCTCAATACATTATGTGTGTTTCATTTAATAATTACAACAAAACTTTAGAGTAAGTCATCTTTTTTTCATTTTATAGATTAAGAATGAAACTTAGAAGGTTAACCAACCTGCCGTGTGTTGCTGTTGGTAGATAGAAGAGCTAGAGGTTCAGACTTATTTGGAAAATTCCGTGGAGAGGGGATAGCAAATAAGTCTTTAGAAGGCATGTGTCTAAGCTATTGGCTGATCGAAGAAGAGGCAGACTCCCTTGGTTAAGTACTGAGCTGAACTCAAGAAAGCCAGTAACAGAGAGGGAGGACTGATGATCAAAGGGATTAAGACTGGGCTGGTTTAACCCCCAGAAACAGCTGACCAGACAAAGGTTAACTCTTGAATCCCAGGCATCAGCCTGGGAAGCCAGCATGGGACTGATCAAGACCCCCTGAATCTGGGTGTCAGTGAGGAGGCCTAGGGAATCTATTGAGCCTTGGGCAGCAGATCAGTACCCATCCCAAGTATACACACGGACTTTGGACTCCCATAGAACAATGTGAGGTGCACTCTCACCCGAACTCTTGGGGAAGGGTCTAGGCCCTGCCCTATATGAAATGACAGACTATGCACACCCCCATGGAAGGCCTCACCCTCCCTGGGGAAATGAGGGGATAACGGGGGGGGAGGGTCCGGGAGGAAGGGAGGGAATGGGAGAGGGACCTGGAACTGACTTGTGAAGCAACCTTGTTTCTTATCCAAATTTAAACTGGAAAATAAAATTAAAAAAAACTATAAAAAAAGCAAAGAGAGCAGAAAATCTGGAGAGTGAACTATGGGGTGAGATAGTAAGGGAGAAGATCGAAGGAAATATGGTTCATTAGATCTTAGGTGACCTTGCCTATCATTGCAAGCGCCTTGATGTTCAAGCAGTCTCATTGTGACTGATGTACCATGATCCTGCTTCCTTGAAAGCATTGCTAGCCAGATAGAAGGAAGGCAGCTGAACTTCACAATTTTAATAAAAGTTACATGACTTTGTAATCTTCATGTAAAATAATTCAAGGTCAAATTCCCTTAATTTTGGCTTATATAGTGAACACATGTGACAAAGGTATTTTATTCTTACTGGCATTACAAGTGATACCCTGTCTTTACTGAAGCACCTCCTAGTGCTGATGTTATAAATACATCTTCTGAAAATCTGCTGAAAGAAAAACCTAAGCAGCACTGGGAATCCTCCTCTACAGACCCAGGTATACAAGAAATGGCCATGACTTCATTTCCCAAAACTAAGTGAAATGCCAACACGACAGAATGGTAAAGATTTCTGTGTTCATTTTTATGAATTCCCGTCTCATAAATTCATTAATGCCTGGAATTTTTATACCAAGTTTCCCATCCGTAATAGCCAATGCCTAATGTTCTCAAGGTTCATGGAGTGTTAGTTAAGGTTTTTTTTTTTCCTATTTCGCTTCTACATCACCAGGCAAATAAAGGCCTTGCTGCTGACTCTGGAAAACAGGGGCTCAGCTTCACCTCCTCATCCCAATGAGGCCTTGAGCAAGCCTCTGCTTATGGTTTTGCCAACCTGAAAAGACAGACATGGAGCTGGGTTCTCCATTCAGTAGCACAGATTTTTTTTATTTTAATTTTAAATAGCTTGTTTTACATGTCAATCCCAGTTCCCTCTCCCTCCCCTCTTCCCGCACTCCCCTTCCCCCCCTTCCTCCCACCCTATTGCCAAATCCTTCCACATAGGGGGTATCTAGAGTCTGTCATTTTACTCTTGGTAGGGTCAAGGCACTCCCCTAAGAGTCCAGGCTGAGAGAGCATCTCTCTTTGTGCTATAGGCACATGAAGACAGTTTGTATACCAGGGATAGACACTGATCCACAGCTCAGGGCCCCATAGGTTGCCCAGGCCTTCTCACTGACACTCACATTTGGGGGGTCCAGATCAGTCCCATGCTGGCCTCCCCACTGTCGCTCTGGGGTCCAAGAGCACTCCCCTGTTCAGATCAGCTGTCTCTGCTGGTTTTGCCAGCCCATTCTTTGCCAATTTGCTCATCACTCCTCTCTCTCTGTCACTGGGTTCCTTGGGTTCAGTTCAGTGATTAGTTGTGTGTTTGCCTCTGCTTCCATCAGTCACAGGATGAAGGCTCCCGGATGGTTATAGACATCAAGTTCATTATCAGGAATGGGCATTCGAGGTGGTCCCTCCACTATTGCTTAGCTTGCCAATTGATATTATACCTTTAGATCACTCGAGGTCACTCTGGTGCCTGATCTGTCTTCTAACCTATGATTCCCTCTTCCCCCTATTCTACCCCCACCCCCTCAACTTCCTGTTCCCCCATGACCAACTCCCTTCCTCTTTACCCCCTCTATTCTTCCCAGGTCCCACTCCCCCCACCCCTCGCCGTGTTCCCCATCCATTCAGAGGATCTTGTCTCCATCCTCTTCTCTTGGGTACTATGCATATATGCATATCTTTTAGGTTCTTTCCTGTTTCCCAGACTCTCTATCTGTGGAAGTGCAGACTGGCACTATCCTGATCCATATCTAAAATCCATATATGAGTGAGTACATACCATGTTTGTCTTTTTGCGACTGGGTTACTTCCAGTGCTATCCATTTCCCTGCGAATTTCAAGATTCCATTGTTTTTTTCTGCTGAGTAATACTCCATTGTGTAAATGTACCACATTTTCTCTATCCACTCTTCAGTTGAGGGGCATCTAGGTTGCTTCCAGGTTCTGGCTATTACAAACAATGCTGCTATGAACATAGTGGAGCAGATGCCCTTGTTGTATGAACCTGCCTCATTTGGATAAATGCCTAAGAGTGGAATTGCTGGGTCTAGTGGTAGATTAATTCCCATTTTCCTGAGGAATCTCCATGATTTCCAAAGAGGCTGTATGAGTCGGCATTCCCACCAGCAGTGGAGGAGTGTTCCTCTCTCTCCACATCCTCTCCAGCATAAATTGTCTTCGGTGTTTTTGATTCTAGCCATTCTGACAGGAGTAAGATGGTATCTCAGAGTTGTTTTGATTTGCATTTCCCTGATGGCTAAGGATGTTGAACACTTTCTTAAGTGTCTCTTGGCCATTTTAGCCTCCTCTATTGAGAATTCTCTATTTAGCTCTGTACCCCACCTTTCAAGTGGATCCTTTGGTGTTTTGGAGACTTGTTTCTTGAGTTCTTTGTAAATTTTGGAGATTAGCCCTCTGTCAGATGTAGGGTTAGTGAATATCTTTTCCCATTCTGTGGCCTGCCTTTTTGTCTTTTTGACTGTGTCCTTTGCCTTACAGAAGCTTTTTAGTTTCAGAAGGTCCCATTTGTTAATTGTCGATCTCAGTGCCTGTGCCACTGGTG